CCCTCATTTTGAATCAAAAAGGAAGGACAAAAATAAGTGAAAAATAGTCAAAAAGATGTCCCTAAGATAATGTGAAAGCCCTGTTGGTGAGAACTGAACAAAATAACTGAGTCTAAGAATGGTATTAGGGAACTTAAAAAAAAAAATTACAAATAATCTTTCATGGGGCTGAAATGCTTTAAACAATGAAATGAGCCAGTGTCTAATGGCAAATATAATTAACAACATCAGCACCAAAAAGAGTACAGTAGAAACCACAATCACAAAAACAAAAGATTTGGAAGAAGATTTTTATTTGGATTCAAGGATACCTTTTATGAATTTTAAGTATCCTGCTAATTGCTTTTGCGGCATGATTTCTCTGAAAACTGGTATTTTAAAAGGTTTTATAGGCCACTTCAAAGTCTCCTCAGAATTAATTAGAGTAGAATTAATCTCATCCAGTTTTAGATGTCTAAAAGAAAGATGTCTACACATGGGCCAGTCAGTTAGCTTCTCCGCATAGAAGGTGAGCAGTTGCAGCATGTCTTCATCTGACCTGTGCAACACACGTACGGTAAGAGAAGGTCAGTTGCTGGGTTAGGTGAGGAGGGGGACATGCCTCCCCCACCCCAGCGCCCTCCTGGAGCCCCTCTGAATCAGCGGAGATGAGGGAAGCATAGCAAAACGCTTTCTCTCTGGAGTGAAAGGAAGACCCGGGGCCACAGCGTGACTCACTGGCTGGTAGATTAAAGAGTGCCAGGAAACATTCGTGGGTAGTGGAGCTCGATTGTCTATACTGTTAAATTATTAGAATGGTTCCTGGCATGGTTTTGAGTTATGCCAACCAGCCTTTCCCCAGATAGTTCCTAGGCACAGTTAAGCGTGGACCAAAGACCATTCCCAATGAGCAGTTTGCATGCGGTCACCTTTTTTTGGGAGGCTGAGAATTTAATAATATGGACACAGGCCACTCTGTGCCTGTTGGTCTCGGTGCCAAAGGAACATTTCCTGTCCCATTTAATTTCCTAGCACAGACATAGCCGCTGTGTTACAGTCTGATCCCTGCTTTGTTCCTGTAGCTGTGCAACTGAGCATTGGTCTGTACTTAAAGTCTGTGGCAAACCGAAATGTAGTCTTTTGTATCTATGTTACTCAACCCTATCCCTAAACCTCTGTTTGTCTTTGTCTTTTTTGAACTCTATGCTATTCAGACAGCAACTATATTTGGAAAGGGCTGTGTATTGTGCAGATCCATTTAAATTAAGCAGTTATCCAAAAGTGAAAATCTGCTCTGTAAAGTAAATGGAAATTAAATGAGACTGACACAATGCCTAGATCTTGTGTTCGCATTGCTAGTGAGCAGATACTTACCACTAATTTGATTTTTCATCAGAAACAGGTACCGTGAAGTGCAGGATTGAAACTCCTGGGGCTAGATAGTCCCAGATAGCAACATCTGTCAGGCATAATAAGGCAGAAAGCTTTATTTCAAAATAAAGTCCCCTTTCTCCTTTTGACTCTAAAGGCAGCTCTTCCCTTGCTTCTCACTGCGCACATTTCCTTCTTTAGGGGGTCCTACACAGCCTCAGTAGACTTTTGCAGATGTTCTTTTCCTTTCTAATGCCTCTCAGGTAGATACACATTTCATTTCTTTTCATCCTGAAGTGCTGCCTAAATCTATTGACATTTGACTTGTTAGAAGCAGTGATCTGCAGTTGCTGATATCATTCTTATCTGGTACCATCCCATCTTACCTGGGTAGTGCAAATATAAAATTACACTGGAAAAGGAGCATAGTTAATCCTTCAGGCACGTACTCCTTCCAGTGTATGAATTCTTCTCAATCTTTTCGTGTGTAGCTTAATCGATGCAATACAAATGTCATGGGGTATCGTCAGGACAGGCAGAGCAGGCTGAGAAGCTGAAAGGGGAAAAGGAGGTAATTAGGAGACAATTGGAAGAAGAAGGGACAAGGTGTGAAAATCAAGGGAGTTTGAGGGTGCAAGGGAGCAGATGGGGAACACGAGGGAAGGCAGAGCACGTGGGACGTGGTGGGGCAGCAGGACATGTCCACCTGGGCATTTGCACATGAGCAGCAGGGTAATGCTGTCGGGGTGGGGGGGGCACTGGCATGTGGCTGAAAGGCAGAGGCAGGGGAGAGGAGCCAGGAGGTGGGGGGACAGCTGGGAGGAACCTGACTGGCGTAGGAGAGGAGCTAAAGAGGCCAGGCAGGGTGCGGAGCAGCGAGGAGGAGGCATAGGAGGGAAGTTTATTAGATAACTAAAATGCAACACGGTCACTAAGTCCCACAACCTCCAAAGTATTGAGGAGTCTTGCGCTGAATTTAGGATCTCCGTCGGCATGTGAGCACGAACTCCTTTTCCTACAGAGCAGTCGCCATGTGCCACATTACGTGTGTGTCAGATTTTCAGGAGAGGCAGGATTCAGGTGAAATGTACCGAAGCAGGTGTTTGCTTTTTTCATCCTAAAACTGGGACTTTAACAAGCAGGTCTTTATCAAGTGCTCTGTCTCTCAGGGAGAGCCTCTCTCACTGGTGGTGTGACTTACCTAAGAAAGCATTTTTTCATTTTAAGTCAGAACTGTGCTAAAGAGGAAGCGATGATCTGGTTGTTCAGCCTCATCATATCCTGTCTTCAGAATAATTTTCATTTCTATTTATCTGCAAATGTTAATGGAATGTCCACAAATATTTTCTTGGTTTCTATGGTAAGAGAAAGAGAGTGTGAAACTATGTCAAAACCACTGCATTATCTGCATCATCCCGTGCTTTTCAGGAGAAGACCCTGACCGCTAGAGGAGTCATCTGTGGCATTACTTGTGTGCAAACATTTGGTACATTTTGATCCCTTTCAAGTTCACATTTTGAACACAGACTTACATATTACAAACCATGGTCGCTTGTATAATTGCGCAGTAACAACAGAGTATATCAAAACAGCTCAACACAGATTACTTCCTCTCTGACTATAAAGCAATCAGGCATTTGCTGGAATTTAACTGTAAGACTTTGGAAATCATTTTTCTAAAAGGTTTAAGTTTCCGAATTACTCAGAAGTAAAATCTCCCAGTCCCCTGTGTATGCGTGCATGGAGCGTAGCAGGGTGCAAATGCTTGGGGAACTGTGCCGGTAAGTGGTCACGTGGGAGAAGCAGCTAACCTGCCGCACGCTTCCGCAGCCTTCTGAAAACAGCACTGTTCCCCCTGAGTGAGCACCCGGGGACCGGCCACAAGCTGTGACGCTCCTCTCGAAAGGAGCAGCTGCCCTGTGCTGCATTTCCCTGGAAAAGGGACTTCAGTTTGGGGCGTACATCGTCAGAAGTATTCAAACTGTCTCACAACCACGCATCCCCCCCCCAACCCTTTGCCTACGCGTGTGCAGAGCCTTAATGTGGCGGGGCCGGTGGGGTTGGGGAAAATAAAGCACCCTTTCACTCTGTGTGAGAAGAGCCGTGTGGATCTCAAACCAGGAATCATGAGGTTTGGTGGTATTCCCGCAGATCAGAGATCACGCAGCTCTTGCTCCTGACACTGCCCCCAGCCATTCACAAGCAATAGCGAGTTGAAATTGTTATATCTAATTTCTCAAAGCAACGTTTCTTCAGTAAGCTTTTCCACAAATGTACTGAGAGAATAAAAGTGCAGTTCAGTTTGAGAGGTATATCTGCATCAGGAAAAACGTATATGCGTTTTAGGAGGAATTCTATCTGACTCAGGGCAGCTCCAGTAAAAAACCCTGAGCTCCAGTTACATTTGTCTTCTTTCCCTGGAGGGAATCTCTGAAGACACTTTTCTGGTTTTTATAGAGAGAAATATTTTGGAAAAGCATCACTGGTCTGGTACCAAATCAGGAACAAGACAAATGGAGTTAAATAATGCCCAGCTTCCACACAGGAATCTCTTTTTGTAGACAGGTATCTGGAAGTCTAGCTTGCCAATGCAGTACTTTGCACTGTGTTATTGAACTGTTTCAAAGACAAATTTTATGAATAGAGATCAAAGTGTTTGAGAGGACTGTTAGCAAATATGACCACTTGTGCAAATATCCGTGAACCTCCCATCTATAGGCATTCAGTAGTTCCAAAGGCTGTCAGGGCATGTAATGGTTGTAATAAATGTTGTATTTGCTTTTGTTTCGGCTGGCTTTGACCAGCAAATTCGTCTGATTACTTCCATTGTTATTTTTGCTTAGAAGACAATTATATTGTTATCATTAAAAAAAAACCCGCTCTTCTTACACATTTCTTTCTACTGGTCTTGAAATTCAGAACTCACTATCCTACTTAACATTATTTTAAAAGTTATTTTCATTCTTATTGTTGCACTTGTTTCTTTTCAGTGTTTTTGCTTTGTTTCTTGCTTCTCCTGAATGCTGCATCTCCCAGCTTTGTGTTTGTTGGAGAAACAAACCAATAATTATTGACACCCTCCCTGCCCCCAGATTAATAGTCAGAGGTTTAAAGTGTAGCATGCACTAAGAAAATATTGGTATTTAGCTGATGATCGTGTGTTGTTTTGGCTGGATTATAACTGTGTTCAGGAGCAGGATACTCCCATGGCTCTGAGATTATCTTCTAGCAACATAATAGCTCATGCAGGACTCTGAAGAAGCTCCTCGTGTTCTGTAAATATACTGAAGATACAGTCAGCCTCATCTGTATTTGGTCTACTTGTGGGAAACAACAGGTTAAACATAAACTGTCCCATCTCTGTTGTGGGTCCAATGTGCAGGACTCATCAAAGTACATCGATGGAGCAGGGCCAGTAAAATTCCCACTGGGTCTCTACAACATGTTGCGACATGACCACAAGGACAGGAACAGCCTAAAAGCAGATGCTTTACGTAGCATATGTCCCTGGGAACGAGAGTATCACTTGGAAATAAATTGTGAGAGAAGTTAGTGCTGGTCTAACCTGCAGCACGTGGGCAGAGACAGTCACAACACTTACGAGGTTGTCCTTCTGTAGCTAAGCGTGGTCTCTCCTTTTTGTTTTACAGGTTGTTACTTTGTGGTATAGAGCTCCTGAAGTTTTGCTTCAGTCCAGCTATGCAACACCAGTTGATCTTTGGAGTGTTGGCTGCATATTTGCAGAAATGTTTCGCCGAAAGTAAGAAATACAGTTTTATTATTTTCCTCATGTTTTTCATTTGAAATTTGAAAAAATGTGCGGTAATGTCTGTTATGATACACTGGATCATGTTTGTACTGGAAAGGCCTGATAGGATGTTTTATTTGCAGGGCAAAATGTAAATACGCATTGCGAATTCATACATGTCGCCGTCTTGGAGTCTTCCCTTTTTGATGGGAATCTTCCTAAGCTCTTGGTAAAGCCCGTATGAGCATTGTTGTATTCTTGTTACATGTGAATCCAAATGCAGATAAGAGTGGGCTAGAGAGGCTGTTGATCAGTTTGAGGAAAGCTGGATTATGGAAAGGATTTACCCTGAGGAAGGCAGGGCATGGTGGTCAGCAGAGTCTTCTTACTCTGGAGTTTGTGCATTGGAGGGTCAGCCGTTTGCTCGTAGTGCCCTCTTGGTGTATTTCAGATCTCAGAAGTCACTCTAAAGTTGATTTCTAGAGGTAGGAAACAGAAGTAGGATTTTTTTTGTAATTTTTTTTTTTTTTAAGAATAAGCTATTTAGCCTGAGTATAGAGATGTTATATGTAGTCAAAAAACCAAACCAACCAACCAAAAACCCAAAAAAACCCAAACTGAAAAACCCAAACAGATAAAAGACTTTGTTTTGGCTGATTAAATTAAATTGACTATCAGAACTGTCTTGATACAAAATATTACAGCTGGATGCAGATGAGTTGTGAATGTGAGAGGAACACTTGGGTACTGGTCTTTCCCCATGGAAGGACACTGATATGTAGGCTGTACCATGTAGACTGTGGAGAGGAACAAACCTCCAAGAACCTTAACAAGGTAAATGTGTCTTGGTATTAACCCAATCACATGCATTTTGGTTGAGCTTACTGCAAAAAGTGCATGTTGTCATCAACTGGGTGATCTCTGTGTAGAAACTGTGTAGCATTTTGTAACACCCACTGTAAAATCAAGGAATATTCATAAAGAAAATGTGAAAGAAAATGATACACTGAGTGGCCTAAAAACTAAAATCAGTATAATTTACAAGGAGAAGCCACACTGCGAGGGCCTTGAGAAACAACTATTTAATTTATACAAAGTGAAGTTCAAAATACTAATTGAAGTCTTGCAAAATAACTTTGGGATTCTACGACTTATTAATGTTAGTATATGGAAAAATCATTTTTCTTGGGCTTCTTGCCTGGTCAAATGGCCTGGGTAGAATTATTATACTCCACCCTCTCCGTCTCTGACTCAGAAATTAGGTCAGAAAAAGAGAGAAAAAAAGAATGTGGATTTTAGGAGTAGCAATTAAACCCTCCATTGCAAACTTAAAAATTTAGTCTTATGCCATATACTACCAGGTTCACAATAGCATTAAGCCATTGATATTTTTTCTGATTTAAATAGCAGAGTCAACAACTTCATTTTAGCATTTGCAATAAGAATGACACAGGACAAACAACAACAGAACTTTATTATATGCTCAAAAGTCTTTTTTTTCTCATTTAATTTGCAGTATTCTGACAGATAAGAAATATTGCCATATACAAGCACCACCAATTTAATTTTATTTTTCCTTTTATGATGTATATGAGCCTCGCTGACTCTCCAAATCCAACACAGCAAATTAAATTAGGGACAGTTATATTTTCTACTTGTATACAAATGTAAATATTACATTAATATTACAAAAACAGATATTTTTAATTTTTTTAATGGAAATGAGATCTGACTTGAAACAGTTTGATAAAACCAGGACTTCTATTATTCTTGCCAAATGCAGGGTCAGTCTGACATTCTCAGTCCTAAATTTGGGAGACTGTCAAAAACTGTAGAGGTCAGGAATCTGCCAAGTCTGTATGTACTATGTTGTTTCATTGGAAACAATATGATTTTCACATACTTCAATATGCAAGCATGATTTGGAAGACTAATCTCAAGGCTCATTGCCATAAAGCTACAATGAACAGCACTGAGTGCTATCTCCATGGACTGTTGTATTGGGTTAATGTTGCAACACTCTGTACGATATATGCTGGCTTTCTGATTCTCCTGATGCATTGCAAAAGAAAACCCATGTTACTGTGACCTTGGTAGCAATAAACTGTAAAATTTTGCAAACTCCATGGATTATTTCCAAAAGATTGAATGAATGCAACAGCTATTTCTGCTGGAAAATGGGAGTGCCCTTGGGTAATCACCTATCTGCATTTCCACTGGTGTTGATAGGGTAAGAGTACAAGAATGCAGCTAAAGCTTAGAAGTAGATGTTGGTTTGACATTAAGACAACCTTTTCTTTTTACTATCTTGCTGGGTACTTTTTCCTCCTTTCCCTTCTGTCCTTTGCTTTCTCTTTGAAAGATTTTAAAGAATTTTTTAAGAAAAGTACTGAGACTCCTCTGGGCTTTTTTATATCATGGAGACCATTGGAACAGGTTTCAAAATAAAACACTATACAGCATCACAAAACATATCAGAATCCTGTTTATGCCAAGATGACATTTGACAGCTTGAGTTTGCTAGAATATAGTTTTGTAGTCTGTTACAAAGACAATCAGGGTGCTGTAAGTTTGGACAAGTGTAGGAGAGAGGTGAGCTCTGTATGAATGATCCGGTCCCTATGTTACAGATTGCTGTGTCTCTAAGTGGAAGGCACCTCATTTAATTTAAGTCACCCTTAATCCAAAACAGTTTAGGACAAATGCAAACAATTTGTTTGAGAAATAGATCCAAAATACACAAAAGTGTATAAAGGAATTCATAGACATATAAATATATCTCTGTCTAGATACACCTAGAGTAAATATGAACATTTCTCTCACCTTGGCCAATTCAGCTAAACAAATGACACTTCTCAGCTGAGGACTCTGGTCCTCCTGCAATCTGAGGTTTGTATAAAGTCATGGCTATATTTAAAACATGCACATTTTAATTATGGTGCAGATTTGTAGGCTTCTGCATATGTGAATGCACAAAAGTATCCTTTGCATGGATTCCCAAGGATCCCACTCTACTTACACATCAGCAGTAAATTGCTCAGGAGTGAAGTGTATGTGTTATGTATGCAGAAACTATTCTGCTTTATGCATCTTTTTCTGTCCATGTGCACTACTGATGAGAGCATCCCCAAATAAATCATTACGTGAAAAATTCCTTCTATGGAAACTTCAGTTTATAAATTTCCTAATTAAGTAGGTTGCAGTGACTTCCAGACACATTTGGATGGACTGTCCTTATCTAACCAAAGTGTAAACATATTTGTCACAGTGACTGTTTCCTTTGTGATTTAAAAGCTGTGGTGCATTGATAATAATAACCAGTAAGGAAAATTGTATGGTATGCTATGGCTTGCTACCATGTCACAGAATCCTTCAGAGATACAACTGGCAGGACCGCTGGGGGCCCCATGGCATGGGGGCATCCTTTGGCACAGCAAGAGGATTAGCTTCTCTTTTTTTATGTTTAGGTAAAAATAAGGATTACTTATAGCAAGGTTTCAGTCTGAGGCTGAGCATTTTCCTGGCCAGTAGGAAATGGCCTTGTACCTCCTACTCAGTGAACAACTCATTAAAGAGAAAGGCAAACATGGGAGTAGCGTCCACTTCTGTCTGGATACATGAAACTCTTCCAGCTGGCTCAAGGACTGCAGGTGGCTCCAAAGGAGGAAGCTATATGACCAGTGTTTTAGGGAAGAAGGGACCATCTCTTTTCTTGCTTGGATTAGGTAATTCTTAATCAAGGTGAATGAGTGTGAGAGGGGAAGACGACTGGAATCTGAATCTGGGTGAAATGATCTATAAAAGTAAGCAGGGATCACCAGTTTTGGACTCTCTTCCAAGTAGGCAGTCTTGAGAAAAAATGTCAAAATGTTTCAATGCTTAGTTCTTAGTGCATCTGTACATGCCCAGTCTTCAAAACCACAATCCTATATGATTTCAATCCTGCAGAGACTAGGGTGATAGTAGATGTGTATGTGGGATGCATAGTCAGATATCTATAGCATTATTCCAGCTAGGCAAGTTTAACTACAATATTGCACAAGCAACTGAGTTTGTCTTCCTTTGTAGTAAATATAGAGCTAAAAATCATCAGAAGAGACCCTCGGTTTTTGTAGCCTGTTATATTCACAGCTCAGTCAAGCTGAAGAAGTCATATGTTTGAGAGTGGCCAGTGTTGTGACTGCATGTGCAATCTTCAGAAACATTACAGGTACCAGTTCAAACCCAAAACTTGAAAGACAGTCTTCTCTCAAAAACCTTTTCCACCTCCCCAAACCAAAACAGTATTATCTCAGTGCCCCAAGCTTCACCCAGCTGAAAAGGAAGTTAATTCCATGCACATGAGCTTCTTACTGAGACCATTCATGCACCAGCTCCGTGGTGTTTTAATCAGCCTGTTGTTGGCAAGATCATCAGTCTCAGAATTTCGTAAGTCACAAGACTGGCCCAAATAGCATGAGGTTATTATTTATTTATTTTTAAATATTAAATCATGTTTTTAGCGGTTGTCTCATTTTTCGGCTAACTCTGCCAGCTCCTAATATATGTGAGACAGCTATTGCATTACCAACCATGCTTGAAAATTGTAGCAGTAGATAAGAGATACGTGACTCTACTAAAATACCTGTGATGGGACAAGTTCCCTGGTGGGCACAAATAATGGACATAGGGAAATGAGCTATAGGCATATAAGTTATCTTTCAATGGTATAAATTTGTCCAATTAGAGGAGTTACATCATTGTGTGTAGAAAAGCCATGAGCCCAGGACTTTGTTGCTCTAGGTAATGTATACAGATGTGATAAAATCAAGGCTTAAAGCCTGGTCTGGTGATCAGGCTGTGATGTGAGCACTGGATTGGGGACCTACAGGCTGCCTTTCATCACAAAACATTTAGCAGGTTTAAAAAAAAAGTAGTGGTACACACACATGCATTCTTAGATACAATATCTTACAGTATAGAGTAATTGTAAAGCATCTTTCAGACTAAAATATAGTAAATCTTTATTTCCC